CAGCACTTGGCCTTGTTAAACCTTACTCTGGTTATTGCTGAAGGTTGCCCCATGTTCATTCTGATATCCAGAATCACATAATGAAATTCAAGCTTGTTGATGACAGATCTTGTACCATAGTTGTAGGTCAGGATCAATAAGTAGAGTTTGGTAGAACTGTGTGATAAAAATTGCATAGTGTTCTCATGGCCCTTGCATGAGGTAAATGTGTGAACCTGTAACCTGATGTGTTCCCATGTGAAATTGCCTGTGTTATGGTTCTAAAGGAAATCAAGACTCAGATGAGGAGTTTGTGGAGCACTTCTCAACAAAAGTGGAGGCTGTTATCCATGCTGTCCTGTATGCCATTCAGTGCTTGGTGGAGAGAAAGCAGGAGGGTGGAAAAGAAGAAGAAAAATCTCCAGATGAAAATGGTAAATTTGTTAATCTGCTTAATTGGGGAGGAGAAGAGTTTAAACTATGCAAACCTGTGTCTAGGAATGGTACCAACACACAAGGAAATTGCCACATCAATAGAAGTTGTTTATTTAGACAGATAGGGTGGATATTTCTAGGTTAGTTCCTATAACATGTCTGATTTGATTTCCATCTTTTTGTGTGTTTCAGATAAAGAGGATGAAGCCTCATTCGATGTGATTAAAGCAGGACATATAACCAAACTTCTGGATGAAGATCTCTCAGCTGATCTGGAATCTTTACATATGCAGAAAGCAATTTCAGCGGTTTCAGAATTGCTGGAGATCCTGAAATCTTATGGGGAAGATTGCACTTTAAATAAACAGAAGGTAAAATTGTCCTCAAAGAGTTTTTTGGCTTTGGGATGTCAAGAGGTTTGTGTCCTCAAAGAGTTTTTTGGCTTTGGGAGGTTTGCTTGTCAGTAAGGGCCTTGGCAGTGCTGGTGGCACAGCTCAGTGGGAGCCAAGAGTGTGCACAGGTGGCCAAGGAGGCCAAGGGCACCTTGTCCTGGCTCAGCAGAGTGTGGCAGCAGCACTAGGGCAGTGTCATCCCCCTGCACTGGGCACTGGGGAGGTCCCAGCTCAGTGCTGTGCTCAGCTTTGGGCACTCACTGCCCAAAGGCCATTGAGGCACTGAGCGAGTCCAGCCAAGGGCAACGAGGGCAGCAAAGGGCAGAGCACATGGGCAAGGGCTGAGGGAGTTGGGTTGGTCAGCCTGGAGAAGAGGCTCAGGGGTGACCTCCTGGCTCTCTGCAACTCCTGCCAGGGCTGGAGAGAGGTGTGGGATGTGTCCTGCCAGGGCTGCAGGGAGAGCAAAATGTTCCTGTGGTAAGACACTTAGAGTTTTTGTGAAAAATCTAGGAAAAGCTTTAGAAATGGTAGTTCAGCTCACCTCTTGACATTTCTGGTTTGACCATCTTTTCAGCACTACCATAATCCTCTCTGAGGTGCAGCTCAGTATGCGCAAATAGTGTCTTGACAGCTCTTTTGTCTTGTTTTAACTGCAGTTTTTCAACCAGTCCTGCTACTTGCTGGTGCGTCTGAGGCCCATGCTCTGCAAGTATTCACACCTCATCCTGTTCTACCTCACTGTTTCACTGGCATCTCACAGGAGCACTGGAAAATTGCTTTCTGTTCTGACCAGCATTTTTACAGAGCTTGCCCAAAAGGTGAGTTACTAGAGATAATAGTGTATTTATGGTCAGCATATATTTAATGTGGGCAAAAGTCTCAAGTTGAAATGAAGCTGCAGGATGGACTTGTACTACTGCAGAAGGTTTTGAATTTGTTTGCCTTTGTAGGGATTTTGCCTGCCAAAAGAATTACTTGAGGAGGAAGCTGGAGAGGGAGCAACAGAGTTCCATGATTATGAGGATGGTGGTATTGGAGATGGGGAAGGCAAGAAGGATGTGAGCGACAAAATAGAAAGTGAAGATCAGGCAAGTGTTTGGGTTGTTCTTGTTGAATTGAAGCAAGGCTGAAAAAGGTCTTGAAATTCATGATGTGCAGGGTAAAAAACATCAAGTTAGCTCAGTCTCCTGTTATTGTTGGCTGTTGTCTTTGCATATAAGCCTAGAAATACTGTGGTAGTACTTTAAGCTTTAATACATAGCCAAGATCCATTGTAATTTTTGGCTTTACCAACAATTCAGATAGAAGACAGTTTTCAGAAGGGTCAAGAGAAGGAGAAGGAGGATCCAGATTCCAAACCAGACATAGAAGCAGAGGACAATGCAATTGAAATGTCAGAAGACTTTGAAGGAAAAATGCATGGTGGAGAAAAGGAGAAAAAAGGTTTGGTTTTTCCACGGTTTTTAAATCCAGTAATGATTGTTACTTTTATGTTTGTTACAAAGCATATGCTGTAAAGTGAATGTTGCACAACAGAGTGAGGCCATCTGGGTATGAATATTAGGCAGTATTCATAGGGATGCTTAGAAGTGTACAAGGAAATTGCTATCTTCTCTCACTGATTGTTTTGGAATGGTGACAGTTCTTTCTTCCTGTTGTAAGTTCATAGAGTCATAGAATTTAGGGGTTGGAATGAACAGTACAGATTATCCAGCCCCAACCCCTGCCCTGGGCAGGGACACCTCCCACCAGAGCAGGTTGCTCAAGGCTCATCCAACCTGGCTGTGAACACTGCCAGGGTTGGGGCAGCCACAGCACCCCTGGGCACCCTGGGCCAGGGGCTCACCACCCTTAGAGTAAAAAACTTTTTTCTCTGGTCTGACCTAGTCTTTTCCTCCTTCAGTTTGAACCCATTTCCCCTTGTCCTGTCACTGCAATTCCTAACACAGAGTCCCTCTCCAGCTCCTTGTAGGCCCTTCAGATGTTGAAAAGTTGCTCTGATGTTCCCACACAGCCTGCTCTTCTCCAGGCTCAACAGCCCCAACTCCCTCAGCCTGTCCACATAGGGCTGTAGTTAACCCCAAAATGTGACTATGAAGCTATTGCTAACTCTTAAACAATGGAAAGAAAGTAACTTTACCTTTTCTAAATGGAAAAAAATAGCAACATTGGGTAGATTCACTTGAGTTGCTCCTCACTTTCCAGAGTAACAGCTTGAACATCTGAAGCTAACATGGCTTATAACTTCCAGTAGTGTTAGGCTGTTTCCACATCTCTGGGGAAATGCCAATAAGTTCATCTGCAGAAGAAATGAACTTCCCAAACTAACAGATAAACTGGAATGGACCTTCCCCTGCCCGGTAATGCCAAAACATTTTGAGAATGGAGGACAGAGGGTTAGGAGCAGAGAATTTAAATCATCCAGGGTTTGCACCTGGCACTTGTTAAGCTGAGGCAGAGAAGGCTCTGTGTGGCCATATCTCCAGGAGAACACTGAACCACTTAACTAGGACCCTGTGCTTGTCTGGGAGTTGGTGCCTGTGTGTTTTCTCCCACATCTCTCAATTAACTGCAGAGAGTGATGAAATTAAGGTGCAGAGTGTGACTATTTATTTGTCAAGCTAACAAAAACATTAGCTCCATCTCTTCTGTACTGAAACACATTCTGGTTTGTACACAGACGATGATGAAGATTCAGATGAAGAGGAGGAACTTGATAAGCAGATGGGAAATCTTGACAATGCTGAAGCTGATGATAAACTGGATGAAAGGCTCTGGGGAGATGAAGATGATGATGATGATGAAGATGCTAGTAGTAAAACAGAAGAAACTGGACCAGGAATGGATGAGGTAAAGAGAAAAAGCCTGGGGAGAGAAGTATCAACGGAATTAAGCTCTGTTACCTTAATGTGAACTGCCTTCCATAGCTCTTGGGCTTGGGAAGGGATAATTTGAGGGGATAAGTTCTGTTCAGTGCTGTCTTTCCTTATAGGAGGTGATGTCCTGTCACTGAGGCTTTGAGAAGAGGTAGCATAACTAACTGAGTTTCTTTTGGATTTCTTGGTTAACAGGAGGATCCAGAGCTGGTTGCAAAAGATGACAATTTGGGCACAGGGACCAAGGATAATAAAAAACAGCCTCCCAAGGATGAGGAAACAGAGCAACAAGAAGAGGACAGTGGAAACCAAGAGAAAATACATGAACAAATTGATGAGGTAACAATTATTTGGGCTAGGTGGAGTATCTTGCTGTTACACCACATTCTGTGCCTCCTGTCATGTGTTTCTGAGAGTTTGAAATGCTCTTCATTCCACAGTGATGTGCACTAAAAAAAGTTATTTCGGAGCTAAAGGTAAACCATATTGTATCCATTATGTTATCCGTGTATTTTCTGATCCATATTCCATAAAGAAGTTTTGTATGCACTAACCTGAACTTGCAGTGGCTGCCAAAACAGGATTTACACTCACCTGATGACAGGCACAGCTTAAAATTTCTTATTCTGTTGTGTTTAGCAACAGAAACACTTTAAGCCAGTGGGGACTGATCCCAAAAAGCTGAATAAAGTATACTGGATGATTTTCCTGAGTTTGCAAGAGTGCATTTATCATCTGCAAGGGTGAAGATTCTGATCAGAATCTTGCAGCTGGGAGAACTGGATTCTGAGCACAAAACATGCTGGTTTTAAGTACCACCAGTTCCTGTAAATGCTTTAGCTGAGATCAGTCTTCTTCTGCCCTTTCTGAGGGTTTGTACCACTGCAAATCCCTTTTTAACTGAGCAGAAAGCAATACTGTATCCAGCATTTCTTTATCCTAGAGAATTCCATAGCTTGTAGTTCCTTATCTTTGCTTTTCCTCCCACTTACTCCATGCCTCTTGTTTTTTCCCCCCACTCTCCTGCTGACAGCGTGAGTATGATGAGAACGAGGTAGATCCTTACCATGGCCAGCAAGAAAAGGAGCCTGAAATTGAACCTTTAGATCTTCCTGATAATTTGAATTTGGAGAATGGTGAGAAGAGTGATGAGGAAGAAGAGGATGAAGGTACAGCTGAAAAAAATCTCTCTACACATTCCTAGGTTGGAGGAGAAGTCTAAGATCCTAACTTATACTGGAAGCTCCTTATTTAGCTGTCCAATTGCTTTCATGGTTCCTTCTAGTTTTTTTCTACATACTTCCAAGCATTTGTACTCTAAAGTTAATTGACCCTCAGGAATATTGGGTTAAAGGAAGTTAACAGGAATTTATCCTGTTGTATCATTGGGTAGAAGCCAATTGTGACTTGAGGGAATTTCTTCCTATAAAAAGTCAGAGATTGGATGTGTAGAATTGTTTTTAGTTAGGCTGGGCAGTTTTATTCCAAATATCTGCAATATTCACAGTCTCTGTACTTCACTGAAAGATTTATATTCCTTTCTGATGTGCTTTTGTGGTTTTTTTTTTAATCCAGAAGAAGCAAATGATTTTGAAATAGATGAGAAACCTGTGGATTTAAATGAGGCAGAGAAGTCAAAAGAACAGAAAGAAGAGGATACTGGTGAGACAGAAAGAGATGATCAAGATGCAGGAGCAGCTGAAGAAGGCATTTCTGAAGATAAGGAGGAGAAGGAAGATGAGGGGGACAAAGATGCTCAGGATCAAGAAGAAAATGCAGGGAACACTGAGGATGCAGAGGAAGAAGAGGAGGAGGAGGAGTCACAACCACCTGATGAGGAGAAAAACAAATCTACTGAAGATAAAGGAATGCCCAATGACAACCAAGGCCTTCAGCCTCAGGTAGAGTGTGACAAATAAAAGCCTGATGGCATTTTCTACTTCTTTTTAATTACCTTATCCCAGACATAAGAAATCAGTATGTTCTGTGATACCCTGAAACAAATTTGCCATTGAGTAATGTTAGTGAGAATCTTCATAGCAAAACCAGAAATCTGCTTACTATTAAATGTGTATTTCTGCTGTGCCACCTCCTTGGCCTTGTGCTGGAACACAATAGGCTATTTCAGTTGGGAGCGACCTACAGCAATCATCTAGCCCAACTGCCTGACCACTTTGGGGCTGACCAGGAGTTTAAGGGTATTGTTAAGGACATTGACCAAGTGCCTCTCAAACACTTAGAGGCTTGGGGCATCCAGCACCTCTCTAGGAAGTCTCTTAAGTGTGTTGATCACCCTCTTGGCAAAGAAATGCTTCTTGAACCATTCCCATGCATCCTGTCACTTGGTGCCAGGGAGAAGAGCTCAGCACCTCCCTCTCCATATCCCATCCTCAGGAATTTATAGAGAGCAATGATGTTGCCCCTTAGCCCTCCCTCTCTCCACACCAGACAAACCCAGAGTCCTCAGCTGCTCCTCAGAGGACATTCCTTCTACCCCTTGCACCAGCTTTGGTGTCCTCCTCTGGACACATTCAAGGACTTTCACATCCTTCCTAAATTGTGAGGCTCAGAATTGCACACAGTGCTCCAGGTGAGGCTGCACCAGTGCTGGATACAGTGGGGTGATCACCTTTTTTGACCAGCTGGTGATGCTGTGTGTGAAGCACCCCAGGACTGCTCTCCAGCCTCTCCTCTCCCAGTTGTGCCCAGCATTACTCCATCCTAGATGCAAACCCAGCGTCTGGACTTGTTAAATTTCACCCCATTGACCATATCCCAATGCCCCAATCTATCTAGATCCCTCTGCAAGGCCTGTTGACCCTCAAGAGAGTCAACAGCACCTCCCAGTTTGGTCACCAGTGTTGTTCCTCAGGGTTCAGCTCAGTTCAGTGTATTTTTTCAGTGTTCTGAATGCAGGAGTTGAAGGCACCTTCCACAACTTTCCTGATTATACCAGTCACCAGCCCCATGGAACCCCATTTATTAGAGCACTCTGAGCTCTGCCATTCACCCAACACACCACGAGTCAACTCAGAGTCACAGAATCATCAGAGCTGGAAGTGACCCTTGAGGATCACCCAGTCCAACTCCTGCCCTGCACAGACATCCCTGACAGTCACACCCTGTGCTGAGAGCATTGGCCAAACACCTCTGGAGCTCTGTCAGCCTTGGGGCTGTGACACTGCCCTGGGAGCTGTTCAGTGCCCAAACACCTCTGGGGAAAGAAGAACCAGTTGCTAATCTCCAGCCTAACCCTCCCCTGACACAATTTCAGCCCATTCTCTCATGGTCTCATCCCATAGCTGGACAGCTTGCTAGGAGAAATGTTTTCCCTGTTGTGGTGTTGTGGCCCTGGGATATTGCCCAGGGAGGTGGTGCAGTCACCATCCCTGGAGGTGTTTCAGAGGTGTCTGATGTGGCACTGGAGGATCTGGGTTAGGGTTTAGGGGTTCCAGCAGTGACAGTTAATGGTTGGACTCAATGTTCTTAGAGGTCTCCTCCAACCTTGGTGGTTCCAGAGTTTATGATGACCTCATTCTGCTTTAAATGCCTTTCAATAACACCCAGTTCTCAGTGTCTTTTCTTAAAATGTTAAAATAATCTGATGTTATTTCAGGAAGAAGAGGGTAAAGATAATCCAGAGATGGATGAAGACATCCCTGAGGCTGAGAAGAGAATGGAGCATGAAACACAGGGGCAGACTGGGCAGGAAAACTTGCAGAGTGACAGTGCTGTTGAGCTGGCTGGAGAGGCTTCAGAAAAAGACCAGTCTAAAGAGGTAAATCACAATGAAGTGTCTTGAGGTTGTGTCACACTGAGTTTGTGAATGTGTTTTCAAGTTACAATCAAGGAACTGCTGACATAATTTTTAAGAAATCTGTATGAGATTCAGTTTACAGCAATTATAAATGCACTGCAAAGCAATGGAAAGCTGTAGCTACCCAGCAGTTTTCACTGATGTCAAGGTAAGACTTGTCTTGTCTGTTCTCTGTAAGACTAATACAGTTATGAGCCATTTGTCATTCACAAGAGAAGGCAGCTCAGCCTTGCAGTTCAACTTCTGAGATTTGTTCACAGCAGTTGCTGTTTTGAGTTACATTTGGTTTTTTTTCTTTCAGGAAAATGGAACTGGAGCTTCAAGTGCAAATCAGTCAGAAGGCCATGAATCCACACTCATGGCCAGGATGGCTTCTCAGAAGCAAAGCAGGAAAAATACCCAGGTTCACCTCTTATTTTGAGTTCTTTTCAATTCTGTGTCTTAATATTAGCCAGCAAATTTCTCCTTGTTAGAACAAGGGGCTAAATCCAGTTTGTGCCTGGTCCCTAGTGATGTTCCCCAGGGCTCAGTGCTGGGGCAGGTCCTGTTTAACATCTTTATTGATGATCTGGATGTGGGGATTGAGTGACCTCAGTGAAGTTGCAGAGGACACTTAAGTTGGGTGTGAGTGTGGATCTGCCTGAGGGTAGGAAAGCTCTGCAGAGAGACCTGGAGTGACTGGATCAGTGGCTGAGGACACTGCAGGAGGGTCAGTGAGGCTCAGAGCTGGTGCTGCCCTTGGCACACAACAGCCCATGCAGCTCCAGGCTGGGGGAGCAGTGGGGACAGAGGTGTTGGTCCCAAAGGGCCTTGGCAGTGCTGGTGGCACAGCTCAGTGGGAGCCAACAGGGGTGACCTCCTGGCTCTCTGCAACTCCTGCCAGGGCTGGAGAGAGGTGTGGGATGTGTGTCCTGCCAGGGCTGAGGGAGAGGAGAGAGGGAATGGCCTTGAGCTGAGCCAGGGCAGAGTCAGATTGGCTGTTAGGGTGTTCAGACACTGGAATAGGTTGCCCAGGGAGGTGGTGGAGTTACCATCCCTGGAAGTGTTTAAGAGGTGTTTGGATCTGACACTGGAGGATATGGTTTAGGGTTTAGGGGTTCCAGCAGTGATAGGTTAGTGGTTGGACTCGAAGACCTTAGATGTTTCCTCCAGCCCTGATGGTTCTGTGATTCTAACCCTGTTGTCATTAGTTTGGGATTACACCTCACTTGAAGTCGATGGTGTTAATTTGTTCTCTTTCAGAGTTTCAAGAGGAAACCAGGTCAGGCAGACAACGAGCGTTCGATGGGAGATCACAATGAACACGTCCACAAGCGACTGAGAACCATCGAGTCCAGCAGTGAAGCAAAGCAGGACACAGCTCAGCCCAAACAAAACGTGGAGGAGGCTGATGCCTTTGAACACATCAAAGAAGGCTCTGAACACTATGATGCACAGACCTATGGTATGGGTGTATTTCTGGGTGCACAGGGTTGCCATTGCAGCATCAAATCCTCAAACACTCCTATTTCCTGCAGTTTTTCCCCTCTAAGTGATGTTTAACATCCCATGCAGCACTCTAGGCTGGGGGCAGAGCGGCTGGAGAGCACCAGGAGAAAGGGACCTGGGAGTGTGGAGAGACAGGAGCTGAGCAGGAGCCAGCAGTGTGCTCAGGGGGCCAAGAAGGCCAAAGGCATCCTGGGCTGGAGCAGGAACAGTGTGGTCAGCAGGACCAGGAGGTGATTCTGCCCCTGCACTCGGTGCTGGTGAGGCCACACCTTGAATCCTGTGCTCAGTTCTGGGCCCTCAGCTCAGGAGGGACATTGAGGGGCTGGAGCAGGTCCAGAGCAGAGCAACGAGGCTGGGGAAGGGACTGGAGCACAAGTGGCATGAGGAGAGGCTGAGGGAGCTGGGGGTGTTCAGCCTGGAGAAGAGGAGGCTCAGGGGAGACCTTCTCACCCTCTGCAACTCCCTGACAGGAGGTTGGAGTCAGGTGGGGGTTGGTCTCTTCTCCCAGGCAACCAGCAGCAGGACAAGAGGGCACAGACTCAAGCTCTGCCAGGGGAGGGTTAGGTTGGATCTTAGGAAGAGATTTTTTGCAGAGAGAGTGCTCAGGCATTGGAATGTGCTGCCCAGGGAGGAGGTGGATTCCCCATCCCTGGAGGATTTCAAGCTGAGACTGGATGTGGCACTTAGTGCCATGGGCTAGTGACCATGGGAGGGTTGGACTCAATGATCTCGGAGTTCTTTTCCAACCCAGTTGATCCTATGATTCTGTTAAACAGAGGTTTGAGAGATACTTCAGATCTCTTCTGAAGGTCACTAGAACTGAAACACTGTGGCCTCAGAGCACAACATTTTTGTTCCAGCTTCACTACTTCTCTTTCCCACTTTGCCCTTAATAAGTGTTGTTGTCTTTGTACAGATGCAGCCAGCCAGGAGCAGGAGAAACCTATGATGCCTCTTGAAGAAAAGGAAGAGGGAGATTCTGAAGATGTAGCTATGGACACAGAAGTGCAGGACGAGGATCTCAAAGCAGTAGACACAGAAGAGCTGAAGCCAGAAAAAACCAAATCTACTGCCCCTAAACCTCTTGGTACATTAACTGAAAAAAGCATTCTAAATTTATGCTGTGTGGATCTTTAAATGTGTATGTAGGTATTTATGTTGGCATGTAGTGGATGAGTTTCGTAACTCATCTGTCACAAGACATTTTGTAGGACTAAAATTTCTGCTCCTAATTGATTTTTGTGCAGCAACATCTTTACTTCTGCCTAGTAACTAGTATTAGCCTTTGCTAAATTGCTTGAGGGACAGAGGGGTTTGCTGCTTTTCTTTCAAGTTAATGGTCTCTAATCTTTATCCACCACTTTGAAGGACTCAAAAGCAAACACTTCCCTGCTGCTCCACACAATGCCAGTTCCCTTAATGAACTGGCACGTAACGATGCGTTCCAGTGTCACCAGCACCACAGAGCTCCACTCTTTTTATGTGTAACTGCTGAACAAAACACCCAGCAAGCAGCTGAGGAGCTGTCTGAGCAACAGCCAGTGCGGTGGCACTGAGCTGTGTCACTCTCTCACTGCTTTCTGCATGAAGTGGGAAGGGAAAAAGCCCAACAGAACTTGGCTATCAGATGTCAGTGGTTGGTAGATGAGAAGATGATAGGTCTGAATTGTCAGCCACACAGACCACACACACAAAAATAAGCTGGATAAAAGTATCTCTTGCCAATTGCAACAGAAAAATGGCATTTTGATGTACCACAGAATCAGTGAGGTTGGAAGGGACAACTGTGGGTCATCTGGTCCAACCTTCCTACCCCAGCAGGGCCAGCCCAGAGCTCATGGCTCAGGGCTGTGTCCAGAGGGTTCTGGAATATCTCCAGGGAGGAGAATCCACGACCTCTCTGGGCAATCTGTTCAGTGCTCAGGGACTGCACAGCAAAGAAGTTCTTCCTCGTGTTCAGGTGGAACTTCCTGGGCATCAGTTTGTGCTGTTCCCTCTTGTTTGATTGGTTTCCCCACTGAGCAGAGTCTGATCATCCTCTTGGCACCTCCTGTTCATGGACTTGAATCCATTAAGAGGTTCCCCAATTAAATGACACCTTGGCTCAATTTTGACCAGTTTTCTTCTCAAACACACTCAGACTGGCTAGAGAGAGGAGCCAAGTTTTACATGCCTGTATTGTTGCCTCCTGCTCCCTTCAGGTGTAATCACTTAAACCCCTTGCTAGACTCATTAGCTTTATGGTACAGGTGTGCATGTATTCAGTCTGTTTGGTTTGCCACATGGTTCCCTAACACCATGTTGGGAAAAATTGGATCTTTGAAACATCTCCTGCAGTGTTGTACTTTTTTCCCTTTAGAATAATCTTTTAACAATGAGTTGTTAAACAGTAGAAACAATAGTAAAAGAAATTCCTGAGTCCATTCCTTTATTTATACGTTGCTTTTTGATTATAGACAGCTGTTCTGTTAAAACATTAGAGGGTGAAAGGTAAGAGAAAATTCCTGGTTTTTAATAGTGATTTTCTGAATGTTTTCAAATGATGTGATACCTCCTGTCATTCTGTCACAGAGGCTATGAGGGCCAAAAAAAAATTACTTCCCCAATGGAATTTTCAGGTGTTAAAGATATGTTCACTGTTACTTTGTTGATTTGGCAAGACAGTTTTAAGAGTGAAAACCAATTTGCATTAGGAAATACATATTTATCTGTTCAGTGAGTTGCAAGGTGTGTTCTCCCTGTTCCTGGAATTTAAATGTCTGAAGTTCTGGGTACTTCCCTTAGAATAAGAAGATGCACTGCAAACCATGAGAGGCTGTGTAAAAGGGTCAGGATACAATATTGCTGCTTGCATGATGTGATTGACAAAGTTGGTAATCAGTGCTGTGGTTGTAGGACCAGGGGATGTGGAGCCAGAGGTCCAGAATTCTGACTCGATGGATGTTGATGACTCTACAACAGAGAAGCTACCACAGGTGGCTGAAGAGAAGCCAGAGAGAAGCAAAGACTCAACCATCCATACAGCACATCAGTTTTTGATGGACACTCCCCAGGTATGACACCCACTCTGTCTTCTTACAGCTGCAAGAGTAGAAACAGATGGTTTTACCTGACCTGTGTTAATGAAACTCTGTGAATGCAAAAGACTAATCATGAAATCATAGAATTTTTAGGGGTTGGAATAGAGCTTAGAGATGATCCAGCCCCAACCCCTGCCCTGGGCAGGGACACCTCCCACCAGAGCAGGTTGCTCAAGGCTCATCCAACCTGGCTGTGAACACTGCCAGGGTTGGGGCAGCCACAGCCTCCCTGGGCACCCTGGGACAGGGTCTCACCACCACAACAGGCAAAACTTCTGCCTAACATCTAACCCAAATTTCCCTCCTTCAATTTGTGCCCATTGCCCCTTGTGCTGTCCCTGCAGCTCCTAACACAGATCCCTCTGCAGCTTCCCTGGAGCCCCTTCAGCTCCTGCAAGGTGCTCTGAGCTCTCCACACAACCTTCTCTTCCCCAGTAACTAACTGTTCTCTAGTAAATGGAATTCCTTTCTTCAGGCAATCCAGTAGGTTGCTATCATTAGATGTTAGGAGGAATGTTTTCCCTGTTGTGGTGTTGAGGCCCTGGGCTATTGCCCAGGGAGGTGGTGCAGTCACCATCCCTGGAGGTGTTTCAGAGGTGTCTGATGTGGCACTGGAGGATCTGGGTTAGGGTTTAGGGGTTCCAGCAGTGACAGGTTCATGGTTGGACTCGATGTTCTTAGAGGTCTCCCAACCTCAATGGTTCTGTGGTGATTTTGTGGACAAAGAATTCACCTCATTTAATTCATCACAATATATTACTTCAAAAAAGCTGATTGCAAGTACTGTAGAATTTCTTGAGCTTTTTATAAATGCCTTGATTCCAAAAGTTTTATCACAGCCTGGAAAACCCTAGAGCTTCAGGTACCACTCACAGTTTCCCAGTGCAAACTGCTGGCTGTGAAAAAACAGTTTTTATCACAAAGAGAAGCAGTTGGTGCTGGATAACCAGTTGATAAAGTAAGATATTTTCAGTGTCTGTTTTTTAGTTGTATTGTCCCTTCTGTTCTCATAAGGTTGTGTCCATGGAGGGTGAGATGTTGCTGTTTCTAGGTGCTGTGTGCTAGCTGTACCTGTTATTTCCATCTTAGTGCCAACTGCTGCAGCTCCTTGGGAAAACACTGCTGAATGCAGATGTTCTCCTGTTGCCAGAGCAGTGAGGTCCCTGTTGTTCAGGTTTGGGGTTATTCCCAACTGACAGCCCAAACGGGAAACAGTAGAGGGAGCTCTTGTAGCAGCAGTTAAATCACAGAATCATCAAGGCTGGAGGAGATTGCTAAGATCCTTGAGTCCAACCATTCACCTGTCACTCTGCCTTCCATGTATTTTCATGTTTAAAAGAAGAAGAACAATGCATTTACATTTTTTAATTTTTTTTAGTTTCCCATACTTTGGAGATCACTAGATGTGTAAACTTATTTTTCTGTCTCCTAAATCTCGTAACTCCACTTCTAGCACATCGTTAGAGATCCTGAAGAGCTAAGGAAGGAACTTGAAAGGCAACTGGAAGCTTGGCAGACACAGCAGCCTGGAACTCCTGAGGAGGTTTGTGACCTCAAGAATCCTTCATTGCATTGTTTCATCTTGTCTTAGTGCTGAAAGATTGAGGAAGCCAAGCAGGCTGGAATCTAAGTACTCAAAATCACATGGTTTGAATGCTATTTTTGTTGTTATGTTTAACTTACTCTGGAAAAAAATGACCTTAACACAGGATGATGTGTCAGACCTTGTTTTGAATGTGCTGTGTGCCATGTGCAGGAATTCACTCTGATGATGCCTTGTAAAACTTGAGTAGTTAGACACACTGCTCTCAGTCCTCCCAAACCTATTCCATTTGGAGTTGTCACCTGCAGTTAAGTGCTGAACACAGGACTTTGACAAAACTGTGCTCAACAGAAGCAGTGTTAAAGCCAACAGCAGAACCAGGATGTGTTACTTTGCTCTTATTGTCCTAGTCATGAACTGTGAAACATATCTGCAGGAATTCTTGAATGTAATTGAATTTTAATCTAAATGTTTGAGGGTCAGTAGAGAACCTGGAGGACTTTATGGCTTGCCTTGCTGTAATAGCAACTGTCAGCCCCTGGTAGTTACAAGACCTTCCTAGAGAAAAGATCAGTGCACGTTGCAGCATCTTAAGTATCCACTGCCACCCCCTTATCACACTGAGGTTTATTTTCTTTATTCAGACAGTGTTTCCCATCTTTTTGGGGTTTCTTTTCCTAATCCACTTGTATTTTTTGTGTGATGTTTCAGGAGAAGGAAGCAGCACAGTTGTGGCAGAGGTACTTGGTTCTGACAGCTCCTCTGTCACAGCAGCTTTGTGAGCAGCTGCGACTCATACTGGAACCCACTCAGGCAGCCAAACTGAAGTAAGTTGGGTCTTCCTGAGGCTTCTAGTTCCTTTAAGCTCCTGGTTTTGGGAGGGGGTTAACCTCTGTAGAACTGCAGCTTCATATTGTTCTTGCTTTAGAGTAATTACTCCTGTTTGCCAATGCATTCAGTTTCCTTGTGTATGGGAGCACCGAGTTAGTTTGAGTATATTTAAGTTATCTCATAAGACCCACCTGGAATACTGCACACAGCTCTGGTGCCCTCAGTGTAAGGAGAGCATGGAAGTGTTGGAGCAAGTGCAGAGGAGGCCACAGAGCTGCTCAGAGCACTGGAGCATCTCCCTGTGAGGACAGGCTGAGGGAGTTGGGGCTGTTGGGCCTGGAGAAGAGAAGGTTGTGTGGAGACCTCATAGTACCCTGTCAGTATCTGAAGGGCTTACAAGGGAGAAGGGGAGGGACTCTGTGTTAGGAGCTGCAGGGACAGGACAAGGGGTGACTGGTTCAAATTGAAGGAGGGAAATTGAGGTTAGATGTTAGGCAGAAGTTTTGCCTGTTGTGGTGGTGAGACCCTGTCCCAGGGTGCCCAGGGAGGCTGTGGCTGCCCCAACCCTGGCAG